ATGCGGGACTCGATCCCAGGACCCTGGGATCATGACCTGAGCCGAAGGCAGACGCCTAACGACTGAGCCACCCGGGCGCCCAAGCCTCATTCACTCTTTTTAGGCCCGTGTTGGGCATTCGTGGAAATGACATTCAAATGAGGGCACAGATGCTAACTAGAACATAAATTTACCCTTTCAGATGGTGGGCAGTGACCTAAGGAAGGCCAAGAAGAGGGGCAAAGGAGCAAAGTGGCAGAATGGGGAGCTGTTTTAGATCAGGTAGCCAAAGACCACTCCGAGCAGGTGACTTTCAGCATAAATCTGAAGAAAGTAAGGATGGATGGGTGTCTGGGAGAAGAGCATTGTAGGCAGAAGGAACAGCAAGTGCAAAGGCCCTGGGCTGGACCATGCTTGGCCTGTTCTCCAAGCAGGAAGGAGGCCACTGTGGCTGAAGCAGAGGGGAGCTAGAGAGTGAAATGATCAATTTGCATTTTGTAAGATCCTTGTAGCTGCTGTGTAGAATAGATTGTGGGGACAATGGCAGGGAGGAAGCCACTGCTCTGATCCAGGTGAGAGGTGATGGCAGCTCACACTAAGATGGGAGTCTTGAAGGTGGGGAGAGAGGAGTGGGATGAGCGGTCAAGTCGACAGCACCTGTAACTGGGTACCGTGTGAGGGAAGGAGAAAAAGGAATTCAAGGAGGATTCCTCAGTTTGGAGGCTGCCAGGAAACAGCAAGAATTCTCTTTGGGTCTTGTTATGTTTGGAATACCTTAGTGCCCCACAAGGAGACATAGGGAGGGGGCTTGGACAGAAAGTCTGGGGGGGGGGCGCAAGTCCAGGATGGAGAGTGAGGTATGGGAGTCAGCATGGAATGGCATTTAGAGCGTTAAGACTGAATGAGACTACCTACCAAGAGGTGAGTGTAGACAGAGGCCCGCGGCCTGAGGGGAGAGGAAACTGGAAGTGTGGGGGCCCGGAAGAGGGAAGAGTCATCCCTGTCAAATCACTAGGATGAGACCAAACTCTGGAGCTGAGAGGGGAGGCTGACCTTTGTTCACACCGAGCTACTGCAGGCAGGAACTATTTTTCCAGCTCTCTGCGATGAGTACAGCATCTGTATACACATTATGTATATGTCCATAGGGCTGTATGTGCTTCTAAATGGCCGGCACTTTATCATCCTGGGTTCTAATGATAATAATAACCACACTTCCGGTGTGCCAGGCGTTCCACTAAGCACTTTATATACTAGTATCTCACTTCCTCTTCGCAATGAACCTGAGAGGTAGGGACTGTTATTGTCCACAATTTACAGCCGGGGAAACTGAGGCCCAGAGAGGTGAGGTGACTTGCTCAATGCTGCACAGCCAGCAAGAAGAGCTGGTAGGGGCGCCTGGGTGGCTCAGTTGGTTAGGCGACTGCCTTCGGCTCAGGTCGTGATCCCGGAGT